TGAGTCCGCTCCGTCAGAATGAAGGACCCATGGAACAACATAATCCTACCCTTGCCTCTGCAAGGGTTCATGTCTTTGACCTTTGTCTAAGGAAAGCACTGTGCTTCTGCTCCATGTTCCAACTTCTCTGCTGGCTCCCTTCATGCGGCTAGGGTACTTCGCCAAGTTACACCCAAGTTGCTCCGCTCCTCGTTTTTGCATTGAGTCGATGGTGGCCCTCGAGCCCACCATTCCACGGGTCAGCCCTCCCTTGAGTCCGATCTCTACATCGACTCCAAGTGTGCCTTCATTTAAGTTGCTTTAGGTCGCTCCCCCACTTGATCTCGCAATGCATCCACCAATGCATTCTCTTGAGCGAGATCATGCAACAACTCCTCGCTGCTTGCTCGGTCCATTGAGCTTCGTGGAGTTGTTGTTTGTGAGGTACTCCTCCTCAACATGTGAAGTCCATCTCACATGATTCTCCCTCTGGAGAGCCAAAACTTATCCCTCCTGGATAACTGTCCCGTTGGAGCAACATCTCTCTTCGTTTCGAAGACCACCATCCCCTTGGACTACTCCGATCTGCTGAACAAACTGTGCATTGTTCTGCCTCTTGCAAACGCACTTGCTAGATTGCGCCTCCACGTCAATACAGCCACCGCTGCACCCCTCAAGGCCTAGCAACATGCTGAACTCGTTGCACACTTCAGCCTCCTCCGGATGTATCCTTCGCATGCCGAAGAGAAAGTTTCAATGCTCCATGGCGCCGAGTCTCGACCGCCTTGGGATGGCCACGAACATTCCATCGTCCGTATACAAGCCCATGCATGAGTACCGAATTCTTCGAGTTAGCAATTCCCCTCACCTCTGTGAGCTTTGCACAACTCTTTCGATCGCTGAGCAACTCATTCCACTTTGCATGGTCTCGTCCTTTGCCAAGCGCCTCGCTTGCCTTGAGCACCATCAAGTAAAGTTGTCAACGTTGAGCCGTAGCTCAAACTCAGCCATCCCAACCTTTGTGCGCTCCGCATTCTTCCAAGCTTGCCTGTTCTCGTGGTGCCTCTTGCGCGAAGGGTTGGCCATTCCTCTGAATGCCAATGTTAGATGCCCGCTCCTCTGAGCGACTCTTTTCCCTACATCTCCATGCCTGTTTTCCCTCAAACGGTCGCGCGTTGATGACTGCCCTCCATGCAGCCCCGCTAGGTCCCCCACGTTTGCATGTCAAGTGTTTCTATGAGTGCTTGTCCCGCTCTGATACCATATGACACGGACTTAGCTGGTTTTGCCTAAGTCGTGTGGCACCCTTGCGTGTCCGTCCGCAAAGGTCAGCCTCCCCGAAGCCTCCCATTGTCCCTTAGGACCACCAAAAGAGAGAACGGGTTAGAGAGAACGCCTCAATCGGGATCCATAAGCAAACATCTCCGAAAAACACTTCATAGACAATGCAAATTACAAACAGACTTTACAAGCTCTGAACAGTGGCACAACAAAGGGTAAAATGGTCCATTACAGACCGAAAAGCTCTCACGCGTGTCCACATGACACAACCTTTATTTACAAGCCTAAAGAGGCCACCAACCCAACTAAAATGGGACTATTAAGCCTTCGGCCGCCCCTTTACATGCTGTACAAGGTATGAACATGCCAAAAGACACGGACACACATAAGCATTACATCTAACATCTTGTTTAGAAGTTTGTCCGTGACAGAGCGGCGGCAGCGGCAGCGGCAGCAGGAAAGGGAAAGGGAGCGGGAGGCGCGAGTAGCGGGAAGGCTCGTGGGAGGCGCGAGCAGCGACAGCGGCAGCGGGAGCAGGAGCGACAAGCAGCGAGATCGGGATCGGGAGTGGCAGCGGCAGCAGCAGCGGGTTAGGGTTGGGTAAGGGTTATATCGGTTTAGTTGGTTCGATTGAACCAACTAACAACCGAACCAGACCTAAAATCCTGGTTCGGTCACTTGGTTTACCCAGGCGCTCGCCCGAAGCGCCCAGCGCCTGGGCTCGGGCGAGCGCCCAGGCGGCGCCTGTTTGAAGCGCGCCGCCTGGGACATTAGCAAAGCACTCGGGACTCGCCTCGCCTCGCCCGAGCACCTAGGCGAGCGCCCGAGCGCCTTTTTCAATCACTGCCGACGCCAAATAGTTGGGACTTACGACTTTATTATCGTTATTGCTATTACCTCTTCAAAACATCTACATGGAATTTTGGTCCACCGCAAACTTGAGAAACCCATCTTGAAAATTGCACCTACAAACAAAAGAATTCTATTGGTTGCTCCTATCAGCATTCATCATTTAGGGCAGGACACGTTTGAGTTCCTAATTTTTAAGCCTGCTAAAGCAAGACAAAGTAAATTTAAATTTGTAAGCCACTTGAATCCTCTTTGCACCTTAAATCATCATCACTTTTCTAGAACAAAGGCTGTTTTCAATTCCAAATAAACGATTCTAAAAGAAATCTCATGATGGTTACATCTTTCAGTGTGCCAAGTTCACCAGGGTAAGTGGACCTTAAGATTAACCTTTAATCATATCATACGCTTCATGTAAGATGAGGTTAGCTAGTATTTATGTTAGTTCCAATAAAAAATCACGTTTGGTTAATGCTGCCAATTACCAAATGCCTACGTTACCAAGCATCAAAGAGTGGTCCTTAACGTGTAATCATATCATACACCGATGAGGCTGTGCTAGTATTTATGTTAATCCTAATAAAAATTCGCATGTGGTTAATGCTACCAAATGCCTACGTTACCAAGCATTAAAGATCTAGATCTCCACCACCAACCACTTGTTGACTTTTCTCGAGGCGCACATCTAAAGGAACAAAATAAACGACCTCCGGGAATCAACACCTTGGCATCACGATCTTGCTCGTATGCCCTAAAGTAAGTCTAGGATTGAAAAATACATCCGAAGAACAGCACGGATTCAGAATTCTACTAGAACGAAAACACATTAAAGAGTAAGAAGATTGCAACCCTGGTATTTTGAATCGAAACGAGATCTCATAATTATACGAGAGCGAAGCAATGAGAGGGGGAGTGACCTTGTTGAAGAAGATCTGGCCGCTGGACAAGGCAATGTAGAGGAGAAGATAACCATACGTGATACCGCCTTCCCCGCACCTCCGGATCAAGTCCGCCGCCACCATAGCTGCCTTTTCTCCCCGGGCAAAAAGGGGGCCGGCGGGTCGATTCATCTCGCCTCGCACGCACACGAAGGGTGAAGAGAGAGAAGCGGATTGGGATGTTGGGGGGAGTCCAACGAGCCGACGCCTCGTCGCGCTGCGGAAGACGATCGCTCAACGAGTGACGCTCGTCCTTCCCCCGAGGTAACCCGAGGATGACTGCCTCACGGGTAACTCGGTTCAATGGATTGGTCCGTTATAATTGAACCGATATAATTCCTAAATATATTTATTTTTTTTAAATTTTTTTTAACATTTAAATAGTAAACTATTTTTCAATAGATTTCAACTATTTTATAACTAAAATAGAAATCATTCTATTTTATTATTCTTATAATAAACGATATTTATTTGAACTATATTTTTATATATGAGATTACTTATATTATGTTTTGAGTCAGTTTATCTAAATTATAGTTGGAACATTATAGTTATTTGATTTTAACAATAATCAAGTCTTAATCAAGATCCAACCTAGCTTAACTATATCCGATGACTCCGTGTCACGATGATTTTACTGATCTATCAATTTTATTTGACATGAACTATTGATCAAAATACTTAAACGAAAAAAAATAATCTTTGATAATTATGAAAAAAATACATCATCCAAAAAATTCAAAAAAATATTTTCTTTCTAAAATTCATCCTTTTCTTTTCTTTTCTGGGTCATACCAAATTAGCCATGGATATGAGAATATAAATTTGACTTTTCTCCTCATTTTTATGGTGAGGCCAAAAGTACTGGCAAGACAACTTATCAGAAATGATTTACTTAAATCATTGTTTCAAAGAGGATTTGTGACACCTCTGCAATTTCTTTTCTTTTCGTCTGACAAAAACATGTAACCAAGATGAGCTTGGCGAATCTGCAGTGTGATTGTCGGCATAGGTAGCAAACAAAAATAATAAGAAGCAAGAAAAATAGCTGCTTCAAACTCGTTCAAATTCCGATGCGCAGAACAGCATGAATTATTACAGAGCACAAGACCTTTGACGAGAAGCTCACTGACAGAGATTATCCATAAACAAAAGTTTGTTCGTAGATTCACCTCCTAGCAGATTATAGAGATAAGAATACTTTAAATATCAATATTTTGGAGAGATTAGTAACATACTTCCTTGATATATTCCATGCAAACCAAGCCTGCTCGCACAAAATATTATATTACAATGCTGCTAGCACAAAAAATTACAATGCTGCTAGCACAAAATATCACAATGTTTTACCAGACTGAGTCATACTGTCATACATTACAGAGAATATCAACAGGGGGAGGATTTAGTTGCAAGAGTCTTGATAATGTCTCACTAACCTTCATCTACTATACCAAACTAGTCACTGGGATACAACCAAAAAAGGAGAAAATTAGTGCCTGGTCATATTTCTCCACTTGTCCTTCAGATCAACCTGTTTGACGAATAGCTAATTTTTTTAATATGTTAAAGAATGAAATAGAACAAGCCCGAGAATAGATACCTCTGTCCTGTCTTCAAATATTTTAGAAAAGCAGCTCAATATAAACTTCCAATTACCCACTCCATGCCTTTGACAAGAAACAGAGAATCATGTAAGTTGTGCATCAGTTTCATAATGAAAATAATATATACAGCTCAATAATCTCAGACAGGTTATGTAAATCCAATTTTTGCACGAGAAAAAAATATATAATGATGCTAATCATTATCAATGCAGTAACCAGTAAGTCATATATAATGATGCTAATCAAGGCATAGAAGTGCATACTTCCGTACAGCCTTTCTCAGAGTCTCTTCTTCCAGTGAACTCCATCTCTTGCGCTTCCTTCTTATAACAAGCTTCTTGTTTTCCATTATGGTCAAGGGAGAACAAGTCTTCTTTCTCTTTGGACTAGGTAAGGTAATTTTCTCCGCAGCTGGGGACTTGTCCGAGGAGGACTCTATTGGATCCTCCCCCCACTACAAAGAGAAGATGTTACTGTTACTATCTTACAAAAATAGAAATGCAAACAAGGAAAAGAAAACTATATAACATACCAAGTTAAACATGACCAAGTCGATTATTCGGACAAATAATCTCACCGCTTGCAAATAAAAGTGTCATAATCTGAAGTTGTAAGAATGAAAGATCTTACAAGTCATATGACCCATTACCACAGATTTCTCTAAGTGGTCCCAGCCGTTCATTAAATACATTTAAAAGGAGATAATACAAACTAGAGCTCTTAATTCATTCAACTGAGATCAAACCAGCCACTTGTATTACTCAGTTCATCTTCCTTTCCACCCCTATGTACCTAATCAGTTACTTTATTCTACATGTTGCAACTTTTTATTCGCAGCTACTAATGAAATAATGATCACATTGGTTTAGATCTCAGAGGACCAACTAAGACATGTTGCAACTCTATTTAACGTGTTCCAACTTTTTGTTGGCAGCAACTAATAAACATAATGATCACATTGGTTTAGATCTTAGAAAAGGACCAACCTTTATACCACTTTAAGCACCTAATATCAAGTATGGCACGTCACCTAAAACCAAGTCTGAACCAAAAATCATTGCTTGACACTTATTCTTTGGCTAAATATTTAAATCTCTACTCTCTTTTATGTGTAGGAGGAGCCACCTCAGAAGCAGGGCACAACTAGAATCATTTTGGTTATTTCATGTCAGGCAAATGTGTAATTTGATGAAAAATAATAATAAAATGGTTAAGTCAATATTTACTACTAATGGTGATTCTTATCATTTATTGCACGCATTCAAATTTAAAGCGACAAGAACATTATGTAGCCAAGATAAGATTTAAGTTCTAACTGAAAGTAAATACCATGTAACATTGATTCACATTCATTTCCACTGTTAAGTGCAATCAAAATCCACAAGCCTTTAGTAAAGTAAGGTCTTTCTCTATAACTTCCTTGTCTTCTCGAGCCTATCTCTGCCATATGGGCACCTGAAACTTGAGCTGATTGTACCCTTATTAACAATGGATTATATGTTCCTGAAACACCTCAAAAATTATTCTACATCGAAGTAACACTCAACTCCCTATAACAAAACTAAATTATCGCAATGCACATGTTTAGTAGGATCATTCAGACTTTGCTTTCTTCATGTATCGACCTAATTCTATTCAATTAAATCATTAAACTTTCCAAAAACAGACATGTAGGGGACACATTAACTCTGCTCATGTTGTTTGTTTGCAAAACAAACCATTTAACAACGATATAAAATAGATACAAACAAATCTGCATCAGATTTACATATCATAGTTTATGTTTCCCTCCATGATGTAACCTTTCTATCTGAAATTATTGTCACCACCTAGGATTCTCTGATGAAAAAATTATAATGGTGTCATGAAGCCAATAATTTCTCTTCCAAATAAATTTCTAACACAAATCTAGTGCCATACTTGACATATCCTAAAAACAATTTAAAACTCACTGCCTCTTAAGCCTTAATGTCAATTTTGTTTCTTTCATGTCTTTAAAAGCAGAAATCCAAATTATGAGGTGATCTGAGAAGACCTTTTCGTTAACATTTCAGAAGTCTGATCATAGGATGTAACATTTTCTGGAGATTTAAAATTACAAGCAAAAAACTTTGCCTCCAGATAAAAAAGAAATCTTAGAAAGAAGAACAACCCAAAAGGAAAATTCCCATGAAAGAAATCAGTGCAACTCCAAGTGTTCCACACCACTCAAATATGATTACCAAACTTGTTTTAATTTACTGCATCCAAATCAAAATTTCAATTTCTGTTACTTGCTTTATGTAACATGAAAAACTGAAACAGTTGCAAATGAGTCCCTATCATTTAAATATCTAAAACAGTAATTATAACTGAACCCAATGAAAATTAAACTTGAACTATATTTCAACTTATTATAATTGCATGTACTGCACCAATCCTTTTTTTCAGTTAGGCTAGAAAAAAAACAAATATTCCAATATCAAATTGGATTGAAAAAGAAAGAAAAAGCAAATTAAGTAACTAGTGAACAAAAACAGGAATAAGGGATGATGAAATAAACACCAAACTTCTAGCCGAATTAAGTTATCTATGCAATCATGCCACAGGAAAAAAAAATCAACATAGATTGTTTTGAATAAAAAGGTAAAAAAGTGATGCCCACTAGCTTGGGCAAAGGCACTCGAGGCCTTCTCAACGGGTCAACGATTCCAATCCCCTGTGGCAGATAGTGACTCTTTCCTCCCACCCATGGTGATGGATGACTCAATCCTGTGGGGCTCGAACACACTACAAGCATGATGCAGAAAAAAAGAAGAAAGACAAGTTAAAATTACCTCGAAAGTATGAGCAGTTGGATTCCTATCCATCAGGCTTCGTTTTTGCACCCCATCAGTATTAGAAATTCCAGTCCCTTTCATCTCAGCATGGATTGTTGGAGCTGCCTGTACCCTGTTATCAATTCCATCTGATTGTTTCTCAACAGATGGTTCTCTATTTGATTGAACAGCATCATCCTTTCTTTGCTGCATACTTCCATCCACATCAAGAGCATCATTTTTCTTGCTTTGTTCCACAATTTCATCCACACCATTGTCTTTGGAACCAGTTTTAACAGCTGAAACTTGTCCACTTGCACCTACCTTGCTTTGTTCCACAATTTCATCCGCACCATTGTCTTTGGAACCATTTTTAGCAGCTGAAACTGGTCCACTTGCACCTACCTGACGTTGAATCTCTAATTCTTCCACATCATTTGTCATCCCAAAGGACCTATTCTTCAATACTTCAGTTGCTTTCATCACTGCATCTGGAAGAGGATCAACCACCACCTTGTGAAGATCCACACAACTTGATTTAAGGGCATTAGCCACCTTCTCAACCTCAGGTGCAGACATAGGATCAAATTTGTCAGTGGGCTTTCCAAGGTGTACAACTGCATTTTGTTTTCTAGCGATCTCATTCTCCATATCCTTGTCCACTACATAAATCAAATTACTAAGCAAGCATAGCCAAAGTAACCAAAAAGCCCAAGTACAGAGCAAGTTAACTGATGCAAATTACCCATGGAACTCAAGTTACTCAAGATATAAGCAAGCAACTAGAATTTTCAATATTTGCACAAGTACAAAACCTCCTTAGATCAAGAAAGCATACAAAAATTCTATGGAATCTTTAACATAATCATAATAAGTCAAGAAAGAACAAAAACTCTAGTAGGATGTTTAACAGAATCATAATAAAAGAACTCCTTGGATCAAGAAAGAATACAAACATTCTATATAATCTTTAACCGAAGCATAGTCAAGGAAAACCTACGAGTATCACACGACGTAGATGATGTTTCGGGATTTGTCTCCAAGAGAACCGTCTCTCTATTGCCACCATGATCAACGACGGCAGATGATATTTGTTTATTCTTCTCCAAGTGAACCACTTCTCCATTGACCGCAACAGACACACTAGAAGTCCTCTCTCCGACTCCACCGGCGACTCCTGAAACCTTAACCTTGTCACCAGATTTGGCCGAAGTTTCGCTACAGGGTTCTCCCAACTCAATCCCGTTTCTAGCAACAATCTCGGCAGCGAGTTCAAGAAACGGCGGCCCCAACTCCTCCATTGCGGCCTTCAAATAAACCCTAATCGCATCCAATGCTTCGTTGCTCGTGTCCCTCTCCAGCAAGCCCCCACTAACGATGCCGCTCTCGACGGCGGCGTCAATCTCCATCCTCAATTTCTTTAGCGGCTCGGCTGCCAAGACGGCGGGACCCGCCAGCTCGAGGTCGGCTACCCTGGAACGCAAGAGGTCGACGAAGGTCGTGAAGGCGTCGTAGTTGGAGGCAGAGAAGGAGAGGGAGATGCAGTGGAGGGCGACGGCGCGGTAGGCAACGGCCATGGACTCGGCGGAAGAGGAGGAAGAGGACGATGTGGGGGGGTCATCGAGGAGGAGGTCGAGCGAGTGCAGGGTGTGGAGGGAGGGGGAGCCACGGGAGAGGTCGGAGGTGAGGCGGCGGAGGAGGATGGTGCGGCGGAGGCGGAAGGGGAGTGGGGACGGGAGAGGAAGGGCGAGGAAGATCTCGTTGGCGAGCCAGTCTTCGACGGGCTGACGGAGGACGAACTCCGCCACCCACGCGGCTGTGTGTGTATTCGGCATTTCCTGGCCGCGAGAGATTGGGGGTTTGGGGTTCGAATATAACAATTGCGCGACCTTCAAATCGCGAGCTCTGATAAAGTACACTACCGCATTTTTATGAAGAATTATACGCTACGTCATATCTATATATACACTCACTTGGGCCGTCGAGTCCTTCACAAGCATCTTTATTGCAACAAGATCTAAAATGACTGGGAAATTGTTTTTTCTCTCGTGCACTCCTATACCTGTACGACTGAAGTGGGTCCCGTCGCCGTTTCAGGTGCTAGACCATTCAGCACGGGAGTAAGATTCGGAGTCTGAAAAAATGTGTCGTTGTCTTTTTATTTTTAATAACACATACTCAAAACGATCCACACGACTCCCTCTTTTCCTTTCTCCCCGCCCTCTTTCCTCCCCGCAAAACCCTAACCCTAAATCCCATCCAAAAAATTCCTTCGCTTCCCGCCTCTCTGTCACAAGGAAAGGAGGAGGACGAGAAGAGGGTGTTATTAGGGAAAGATGTACCTGTACAGTTTGACGCTGCAGCGACCGGGCGGCGTGGTTTGCGCCACGAACGGCAACTTCGTGGGAGGGAAGACCCAGGAGATCGTGGTGGCTCGAGGCAAGACGCTGGACCTGCTCCGCCCCGATGAGTCCGGCAAGCTGCAGACTCTCCTCTCCGTCGAGGTCTTCGGCGCGATCCGCTCCCTCGCCCAGTTCCGTCTCACGGGCTCCCAGAAGGACTACGTCGTCGTCGGCTCCGACTCCGGCCGCCTCGTCATCCTAGAGTACTCCCGCGAGCGCAACGTCTTCCACAAGGTCCACCAGGAGACCTTCGGAAAGTCCGGCTGCCGTCGCATCGTCCCCGGCCAGTTTCTCGCAGTTGATCCCAAGGGCCGCGCCGCCATGGTTGCCGCCTGCGAGAAGCAGAAGCTTGTCTATGTCCTCAATCGTGACGCCGCCGCCCGCCTCACCATCTCCTCCCCCCTGGAGGCCCACAAGTCACACACCATCACCTACTCAGTCACCGGCGTCGACTGTGGCTTTGATAACCCCGTCTTCGCCGCCATTGAGCTGGACTACTCCGAGGCAGATATCGACCCTACGGGCCAGGCCGCTGCTGATGCCCAGAAGCATCTCACGTTCTACGAGCTTGACCTGGGGCTCAACCACGTCTCCCGCAAGTGGTCTGAGCCAGTCGACAATGGCGCCAACCTCCTCGTCACTGTCCCTGGAGGCGGCGACGGCCCCAGCGGCGTCCTCGTCTGTGCCGAGAACTTTGTCATATACAAGAACCAGGGCCACCCTGATGTTCGTGCCGTCATCCCCCGCCGTGCCGACCTTCCAGCAGAGCGTGGTGTCCTTGTTGTCTCCGCCGCCACCCACCGCCAAAAGTCCATGTTCTTCTTCCTCCTGCAGACCGAGTATGGGGACATCTTTAGGGTCACCCTGGAACATGAAGGCGACCGCGTCACCGAGCTCAAGATCAAGTACTTCGACACCATCCCCGTCACCTCCTCCATGAGCGTCCTCAAGACCGGCTTCCTCTTTGCCGCTTCTGAGTTTGGCAACCATGCATTGTACCAGTTCCAGGCCATTGGGGAGGCGGAGGACGTTGAGGCCTCCTCTGCCACTCTGATGGAAACCGAAGAGGGATTCCAACCGGTGTTCTTCCAGCCCCGAGGCTTAAAGAATCTGGTGAGGATTGACCAGGTTGAAAGCCTTATGCCCATCATGGATATGAGGGTCATGAATCTCTTTGAGGAGGAGACCCCTCAGGTGTTTACCCTCTGTGGCAGGGGGCCCCGATCCTCGCTGCGGATCCTGAGGCCAGGGTTGGCTATCAATGAGATGGCCGTGTCACAGCTCCCGGGTACTCCCAGTGCTGTGTGGACAGTGAAGAAAAATGTGAATGATGAGTTTGATGCTTACATTGTGGTGTCCTTCGTGAATGCCACGCTTGTGCTCTCCATTGGTGAAACCATCGAAGAAGTCAGTGACAGCGGGTTTCTTGACACCACGCCTTCGCTCTCAGTATCTTTGTTGGGAGATGATTCCCTGATGCAGGTCCATCCCAATGGAATTAGGCATATAAGAGAGGATGGGCGTATTAACGAGTGGAAGACACCTGGGAAGAAGACCATTGTGAAGGTTGGGTTGAATAGGCTTCAGGTGGTGATTGCTCTGAGCGGAGGAGAGCTTATTTATTTTGAGATGGACATGACCGGCCAGTTGATGGAGGTGGAGAAGCATGAGATGCCTGGGGATGTGGCTTGCTTGGATATTGCACCAGTTCCAGAGGGGAGACACAGATCCCGCTTCCTTGCAGTTGGTTCTTATGATAACACAATTCGGATTCTGTCATTGGATCCTGATGACTGCATGCAGATCTTAAGCGTTCAGAGTGTGTCCTCACCACCTGAATCCCTCCTATTGCTTGAGGTACAGGCTTCGACTGGAGGAGAGGATGGAGCAGATCATCCAGCTAGTGTCTTTCTCAATGCTGGCTTGCAGAACGGTGTTCTTTTCCGGACAGTTGTTGATATGGTAACTGGTCAGCTCTCTGATACTCGATCCCGGTTCTTAGGATTGAGAGCTCCCAAGCTCTTCTCAGCTACTGTGAGGGGTCGGCAGGCGATGCTTTGCTTGTCAAGTAGGCCCTGGCTTGGCTATATACATCAGGGACATTTCTTGCTGACTCCTCTTTCATACGAAACACTTGAATATGCTGCATCGTTTTCTTCCGACCAGTGTGCTGAAGGTGTTGTCGCAGTCGCAGGTGAAGCTCTGAGAATTTTCACAATTGAGCGGCTAGGGGAGACATTCAATGAGACAGTTGTACCTTTGCGGTATACTCCAAGGAAATTCGTGCTGCAGCCCAGGTGCAAACATTTAGTCATTATTGAGAGTGATCAAGGAGCATTCACTGCAGAGGAAAGAGAAGCTGCTAGAAAGGAATGCTTGGAAGCTGCAAAGATGGGTGAAAATGGAAATGCTAACAATAGGCAGCAGATGGAAAATGGTGGTGGGGCTGGTGATGATGATGAGGATGATGCTCTCTCTGACGAGCAATATGGTTACCCAAAGGCAGAGTCCGATAAGTGGGTATCTTGCATCAGAGTTCTTGATCCAAGAACAGGCAACACAACTTGTCTGTTGGAGCTTCAAGAGAATGAGGCCGCATTCAGCCTTTGCACGGTGAACTTCCATGATAAGGAGTATGGAACTCTCCTCGCTGTCGGAACTGCAAAGGGATTACAGTTCTGGCCTAAGAGAAGTCTTGCTGCTGGGTTCATTCACATATATAGGTTTGTTGAAGAAGGAAAGTCTCTTGAGCTTGTTCACAAGACACAAGTAGAGGGAGTTCCACTCACACTGTGCCAGTATCAGGGGAGGTTGCTTGCAGGTATTGGCTCGGTGCTCAGGTTGTATGACCTGGGCAAAAGGAGATTACTCAGGAAATGTGAAAACAAGCTCTTTCCTAATACCATTGTTTCCATGCACACATATCGTGATAGGATTTATGTGGGTGATATCCAAGAGGTACATCTTTCTTCTTTACTTATGTATTCTTTGCCAATGTTTTTTGCAATGATCAACTAGTTCTCCAATTTTCAATGAAAACATATACACTCGTCTCTGACCATTATTTTAGCTTGTAGATCTCCTATTCATCATTTGATCAATTTCTGTTTCCTGCTTGGTGTTTTACGGAAGAACACTCTTATGGCTTTAGCTAGTGTCTAGTTACCTTATACCTGTAGTTGTGGACTGTTTGGTCGTAGAGGTGTTGCCTTAAGGATTTGGTGTGGGTAATTTCATACACATAGAAGGTATGTAAGAACACGATGGAAGTATGAGAGTTCCTTGCCATTCTAGAATGTATCAGCTGCTTGATTGTGTGGATAGTACTATTATTAATTAACAAAAGATATCATGTGGAGGTTTCTCGTGACAACCAGTCTGCAACCTCACCAGACTTACCTCCTAAAAGGAGAATGTGACCGTTTGGGTGGGTAAAGAACTATATACTTTGTTTCACCATATTAGATTGTCAATGAGGGATTGTTTGATTACCATCATCTTGCAATATCTAACAACCTCATTGGAACCCATTGGATCCCTTTATTTAATTTATAATAGATGGCATGTGGGAAATATTCAAGTACAGTGGCCATTCTTGCAACCCTCCAAGAAGCAGTCTTTTTGTACCATAGGGTCTCACCAGCCATTGTCTAGGTTTATCTTTAACATGACTTGACCTACAATCATTTTGGCTTTGTATCTAAAAAGGACTACTTGTGTTGTCAATTTGCGGTTGGTTTTGACCTACAATCATGTTGGCTTTGTATCTGAATGAAAAATCTCTTAATAAAGAAGATTTGCATTTATAATACATCATATAACGGCAGCCTTTTATATTTGTATCAACTAGAGTACTGGATTTCTGATCCCAAGTAACCATAAAATATTATTTGACACCCATCTTAACTTAAACATGGTAGATGCTTTTGTAATGTTCGATAGATGTTATTTGAACCTAATCTACCCTAGAGTTGATCAGAATCTTTAGTTGACCAAGCAGTATCAGTTGGCAATAATTCTTCAAGTATTTTGCTCCCATGATATTGCAATTTGTGTACTACTGATAGCTGAAAGATCAGTTGCAGGGAGGCAACGAACATATTGATATTTATTTCTGTTGTCACTTTGTTGTTTCTTTGACTCCTGTTGATTGTTATTAACTTGCATTATATTAAAAGTTGTAAGTGATTGGAAAAGATATCGAACTTTATTATTCAACCCAATTGTTTCTAAGGTGATCAATTCGGCTTTTAACAAATTGCTTTATGTTAAAGCACCTTGTTGTGCAAAGATGTAATTCTAATAGTAGTACCTGGAGTTAGAATTTAATGTAAATTGTATTCTCTAGTATGCCTTTTAATTTTTAGTCCATGGCATAAAAAGGTACGATGGTTATTGAAAAATCCTAGCAATCTCCAAAGTGTACAATCTGAGGTTAACAGTGTAGAATTTTCTCCCAAGAGTATGCAAGAGGACACCTCCAACAATACGTAGTCTCTGTGAAAACACTTGTGGG